CGCAAAACCTGCCACCAAAATGCAATAACAGCATAAAACTCCTTTATTTAAAAACCCTATTTTTTTATCATCTCATACTAGCAACATTCAGTATTAAAAGAAATTAGCCCAAGACTTTCATATTATCCTAAGAATTTCCCATGCCTATTTTAAACCTTCATGCTAATGTAACCAAGAGAATAACCATCAATAGTTACCACTAACCACACACACAAAAAATCAAGACAGATGTTTACTGTCTTTAATAGATGCTCTAGGATCTACTAAGAACTTATCTGCCTAACAGCAAATTGCTACCATACTTACCAACTTTGGGGTTATATAAGCTAGTATTATAAACAGAATAATAACCACTATCTCTTCAATGTTTACCATATACCATGTAAGAACTAATTACTTTATAAACATTATTTTACTTAATACTCAGAAACATCGTCAAATTAGCCCCATTTTACAGATGATGAAACTGAGACTCAGAGAAGTTGACCTCTGCCCAAGGACACAGCTCAGAAGCAATCAAATCTAAGCTTGGCAGGTTCCCAAGCTCATAATCTTTCCACTGCATCACACTGATTTCCACCCTTCTAGTCTGGGCTCTAATTCCAAGTCTATATTAAATAGGAGGTAAGGAAAGGGCCATTTCTTTCATAATTCATAATATGGCTCTATTGTAGATATCAGACACCCTGAAAAAAATCCTGTTTTTAACATTATGACAGAACAAAGGAGACAGTACTGTAAAACAAATTTCACCTTCTTAACACAGGAGATACAGCTCCTGTATCAAGAGTACCAAGTCACATCTTAAGAAAATTCAAGGCCCTGGCCAGGTAGCTCAGTTAGTTGGAGCATTGTCCCAGTATGCCAAGGTTGCTGGTTCCATCTCCAGTAAGGGCACATACAAGAAACAATCAATAAATGCATAAATAAGTGGAACAACAAATCACTGTTTCTCTAAAATAATCAATAAAAAATGTTTTTTTTAAATTTTGTTTCCTCTAGAAGTGAATGTTCTGTCAGGTCACCACATTAAAGAAATCTCTTGAAATTAGTTACAAACCAGAAACTTATCTCGTCCTAGGGTTCATATTTTTATTTGGTACAACTGGACATATTCAAAAGTAGACAAACTCAGTGGTGTAAGCTAGACATTCCAGAACTTCTAAAATGATACATCCAACCCTCAAATGTCCATGCAAGCAGGTGGTTCCAGTTCAACACTGGTAAATCAAATTCACAGAAAAATTCTCCAAATCGCTTTAAACAAGTGATTTAACTGAGGTTCAGTTCTTTGTTTTGGCTCTGTCTGCCTATTAATAAGCTAAAAAATAGCAAAACAAATAAGCAGAAATATCCCAGAATCCTCAAATTAGAGGCGCCACTGAAATAAAATTCAAGACTTTATTTATTTTTTAATCCTTACCCGAGGACATTTTTCCATTTTTTGTTCAGAAAGAGTGGTAGGGGGGAGAGGGAGAGGGAGAGGGAGAGGGAGAAGGAGGGAGAGAGAGAGAGAGAGAGAGAAACATCAATGTGGAAGGGACACATCGAGTGGCTGCCACCTGCACGACCAACCAGGGCCAGGGACAAACTGCAACGGAGGTATGTGCTCTTAGCGGGAACCGAACCTGGGTCTCTCTGTACCGCAGGCTGACGCTCTAACCGCTGAACCAAAACGGCCAGGGCTGAAATTCAAGACTTTAAAAGTGAGAAGTAAACCCTTTCCTGTATAGACAAGGAAAAATGCCCCTAAAGGTAAAACTGACAAAAGTCAGTACTGCCCAGTGGTTAAAAGCACTAACCACTGTAGCCAGATAAATCTTATTGCCTTAAATCTGCCACTAAGCAGTTGTATAACCTTTGGCATGTAACTTATCTCTTTGAGCCTCAGTTTCCTCAAACGCAAAATAAAAATAATCCCAACAGTGTTGCTATAGATTACTTTCAACCACGTTTAAAACAGTAAGTGGCATGAAGCAATTAATTATTATGACTATTATTTTATTATTAAATAAAGTCTTTAGAGAAGCTGAAACAAGAACCCAGTTTCTAAAGTCTCATTCATGTTCTTCCAAAATTATCAAACAGTCTACCATTCCAAATTTGGCCCCTCATTCCAAAGCACAATCATCTGTGAATATCTAGTGGCCTCCAATTGCTAATTCTTAATGTGACAGTTTAAACACAAAAAAATAGCAAAGGTTTTGCCAATGGCTATGTTATAAACCTTACAGTCAGCAACCTTACCTAACTGGATTTCAGATTCACCATCCATAGCATAAGAACTTCTAGAGTACCTACTCTAAAACTCTAGTTCAATAAACTTCCTAAACAAAATAAAATAAAACCAGGTTCTTACAGTTTGGCACTCACTTCACTTAGAAAAATTTCATTTCCTTGATAGAAAAAATAGCAAACAAAAAATTACAGACATGATCACAAAGACGACTCTGGAAATCCAGGGTTTTAGTTTTGTTTCTAAATCCTTTCCCATAATAGGATAAAAATCATTGTACTATTATTGGATAACTGAAGTCTATATTCTCAACTCTGAAGGTGATTGTTCAGATATCTGGGCCATAATCATTTAGTTGCTCATCATCTCTTCACATACTAAAATGTTCGAATACTTACCTTCATCTCAAAAGTGACAACTGAACATATTAAAACACTAAGTAGTTATGACCCCAATGGATTACTTCCAAAAGAGTGAGCATAAGGATTAACCTGAAACATTACAGACCAATGTAGAGTCATGGTAATCTCTTCATGATCTCAAGAACCACCAACACTATGTGTTCTGAGATTTGCACCCATTTGGGGGAATAGCTATTTGAATCATAGGTTTAAACAAGTTGCCATTTCCTACTTAGCATATGAAAACTGTCAGATGTGGGGATGAATTTCCCAGGAATATAAAGCCAACTGTTTGCTGAAAAAAAGAATAAATAATTTCTTCTTACAAGTTGTCATTTAAATGTCTTCATTCTATTTTTTTCTCCTTGTCAGAAAAAAAAATTGTTATAACCCAACTGTTTTGGTTGTTGTCACTAAACAGAGTATACTAGAATAGTCCAACTTTTGGTGATCCAAAGAACTGTACTTGTTGGATTCCTATCAAACACTTGAGAAACAACTCGATATAGTGGCCTCAAATAACTAGCTTGCATTTTATCAAATAAATTTTGATCCAATAAATGGTCATATTCTTCTGGATTATCAAGAAATATTGCACTGATCTCAGTTCTTCCATTGAGCTCAAGGCTCATCCAGCGATACATCCCCAAGAGTGAAAAAGCAAAATTTTCTGGGAAAAGAATTTCCATGCTATCAAGAAATGAGTTATCGATGACTATAGAGGCACCTACAGGGTACTTACGAATTTGTGTGTAGATATTCAAAGGTTAGCTGAGCTCGATTCAAACTGCTGTAATTTGTGAAAGCCATGAGTGCAGTGAGGTCCAGTCCTTTACCCACTAACTGGGAAATACAACCTTACGATGGAATAGATTTTCCAGGATTCTTTCCAGAAAGGTTTGGTAAATCTGTCTCCTTACAGTTAAACAAGGTTACTTGACTACCTATCCAAAATATATTCAGAGATACTATTACAATTGATTTTTCCTTTGTGTTTGTTTTTTTTTTTATCTTCTCAGACTGAATATTTTGAATAGAACTGTGTCATAAATCTGTAGTCTTAGGAGCTTTAATGTTAAATTGCAATAATTCAATGAGTCGAAATGTGGATGATCTTGAAGTAGATGGTATTGGAGTTGGCGATTTTATTATTGCTCCATGTTCATTTTCTTCGACCCCTTTTTTGTTCTAGGAAATTTACCAATCCGGAAACTTATCAACTTCTGTTATAAGACTGGACAATCACCCATGTCTTCGCCACCAATGATCCCAGGATCCTTAAATAGACTCCAGATTGGCGGCCATGATGTCGAGTATATATGGCGATAGTTCGGCTTCACCAATTCTCCACTGAAAGGTCTCTCAACCGCAGATGGCGGATTCCAGTTTTCAGAGCCCCGCCCCAATCTCCTCAGGGTAGTGTGTCAAATTACCTCACAAAGACCCACTAAAACGCCTCAGAATTAACCTGCCCAAGTCATCTCAGGCGGGCGACGCCCCTCCCCCCACTCTCCTCAGACAGCGGCCTCGGCCTCTCTGGCCCTTCCAGGGCCTCTCCTCAAGGAGAGGAGTTAGGCCCAGCTTTCAGAGCCCGGATCGAGGGCAATGGCGAGCGTACACCCGACAGGGCGTTGCCCAGCGCTCGCGGCTGCCTTTGTCCCTCCCCACGGAATTGGAACCCAACAACCGCAGCGCGCTCTTGGACCATGTGCTGCCGCCGCCTCCGCCGCTGCTGCCGCCGCCGCCGCCGCCGCGACACGAGCCGCCCGTGCGCCGCGCTGAATAAGGTGACAGGACTCAGCACCACGAAATTCGGCTTTTAAGGTTGCTTCGCAGCCGCTTCCCCGGCCACCACAGCCACCGCTTTGTCTCCGCCTGTACACACGAACCGGGATCCCTCGCGCACTCACCGACGCCCCAAACCCCCGAGGCCTAGGTGGCGCATTCAGCCAATCATATAGCCGCAGTTCCTCCCGCCCCCCGCCCTAAAACGACGCCCCTTGATTGGTGTCCAGTGTGTTTCCACGTGACCGGATATTGTTAGCCGGGCCCGCCCCTGTCACGTGAGAGCGCGCGCCTCTCTTCCTGCTTTCCTGACCCTCTCCGCCATTTAAAGAAACAGTACCGGGGGCGGGCCGAGCGACGCAGCCGGGACGGTAGCTGCGGTGTGGACCGGAGGAGCCATCTTGTCTTGTCGCCGGGGAGTCAGGCCCCTAACTCGAAGAAGCCCTGGCGCGCCCTCCCCCACTCCCCGGTCTGGTAGGGCGAAGGAGCGGGCGCGCGGTCGATCGAGCGATCGGTTGGCGGCTCTTTCTCCTGCTCTGGCATCCAGCTCTTGGGGCGCAGGCCCGGCCGCCGCGGCGCGCGCCCGGTGGCCGTTGGCGCTCGCGCCGCGTCTTTCTTCTCGTACGCAGAACTCGGGCGGCGGCCTATGCGTTTGCGATTCGACGAGGAGTTGTCCGGGTGGTCGGCGGTGGCGGGCAGCTGCTCCGCCCCGCTCCCGGGGAGGCGGCGGCGGGATTTGGCGCGGCCGGGGAAGCGGGGGTGGCTGGGGCCGGCCTGGAGGCCTGGCGCCACCCTTCGGGGCCTGCAAGGACCCAGTTGGAGGGACAGGAAGGTGCTGGGGGATGGTTGGTGGTGGGCTTTCTACTTTGCCTTTTCCTCCTTATGCCGCCTTAGTGAGAGGCGGGAGTTCTGGCGGCAGCTCCGGGGTAGGAGACAAGCTCCGGAGTCGGAAGAGCTGGGTTTGCTTCCGGGCCTAGCCACTAGCTGGCCGAGTGACCTTAGGCAAGTCACTCTGTAATCTGTCTGCGCCTCAGTTTCCTCTTCTGTCTAACGATGTTTGTGGGATTAAAGCGCTTTGTAAACTATAAAGCGTCAGTGTATGCAAGGGATAATTATTGTTTGTAAAAATTTTTTTGAGTAAGAAAACAGCAATTGCCTAATCCATGGATTTTGAACCTGGGAGCCTTGGATTGGAGTTGGAGATACCCCAAACTCCCTTAAATTGTATGCAGAGTGGGAATGTGCATTTTAGGGGAATGAGGATCCATCGCCAACAAGTTTTCAAAGGGAAATGTCACCTCCCGAAGAGTTAAAGATTTCTTTATGCCATAGGGAGGAAACTGAGGCCTAGATGTTATTTGGGATCCTTCACAACCAATTTGAAGCCCCTGTTTGAATCCCTGGGATATGTGAGCTTTTCTGTGCATAATGGGTATTGGGGTAACAACACTTCACTGCTTGGTTTTTTTCTGAGTTTTCCTTTCCCTATGGGGTGCCTGAAGGGTGGCTAATGCATATGGTACGGTGGCACCCAATATAAAGCAGCTGAAATGGATATGTTCTCTATCAAGAATCCTATTTAATCTTTGGCCCATTAACTCTTTGTTGCTGCTTATACTGGTGCCAGACAACCTTTCTGACTCTTTCATTGACCATTTTTCACGACCATGTTTGCCATCTGTTACTTGCTCCTATTTTATATTTCTAGTCTATGTGGTTGCTAGTGAGCAGGCTTATTTTTAAATGGTGCTGCCAAGTCTAGCTAATTAATGGGGCAGGTGGATCTTTAGCAAGCTGGCTCACTGGAATAGACTGAACCAGCATGGAATTCCTGAAGATGTTGGGGGGTTATCTTTATTAATTGAAGGTTAACATTTTCTGAAAAATTGTGTTAGAACCTGCGCTGAACCTCAGAATCAGTAGATTTGGAAGTGTTTCAAAGCTTAACTTTTTTCTGGACTTTGTATTCTATTTGCTTGCAAGGGTGTTACTAAGGTGGCCAAAATGCCAGTTTTTTGCTTCTTTGTTAATTGTCAGCTGCTTTTGTCTAATTCCAGGCTATTACCCAGCAAACACTATAGAAATGTTTGAACAGTTGGATTTCAAACATTTTGTTTGGAGTGGTATAACTCTAAGCAAGCGAACACACGTTTAAGTGTATTTTGTCTGGTTAGGTGTTACCTGGTTCTGCTATTAACATACAAATGTCTGAAAAAAAATTGACTGTTCCCTTTACCTAAAGGGCAGAGACAAATCTCACTTCCAGAGAAGTAATGTTTTTGGAGAAAAATGTGTTGGTCTTTTAGGTCTTCTGTAATAAAATCTGGATGTACTTACTGCAAAAGAATCTTAAGACTGTGGTGATAAGATGCTTTTTTCAGCAGAAAGGAGTGAAAAAAAACAACTGGAACTCAAAGCTTGAAATACTGTGACAAAACATGAGATGTACAGGATAGAAGGTTGAAAGGGTTTCACTACAATGTTCTACACTAGCTGGAGCAGATGTCTTTCAGTATAGCCATGGCATGGACTCCAGATTTGCAAGACCTGGGACCTGGAAGAGCTTATGAGGATATGACAGGAACTCTGGAGCTGGGTATTTTTCTTTTTGAATTTTGGGACTATTGACCTCGCTTTCAGAAGAGACAACGACTAAGCAAGCAATGCCACCAGTGCTGTTACTGAGAATTTGAAGACCTGAGTTTCTGCCAGACCCTCAGTGCAAACTCTGGTGACACTGCATCCAAAGTGAACTACGGTACTTGCCATTTTCCAAAATGACTCATTCTTTACCATCTCTACACTTCTCTTCATACTTTCTTCTTTACCCTGAAAAGTCTTCCTCTGGTTCTTCACCTGCCAAAACTCTACCATTTTCTCAATATCCACCTCAGATGCACTCTTCTCCTTGGGTCTCCTAACTTTAGCCAGAATTAATATTTTTAAAATTTTGTCATATATCTTTTATCTTTGTGTATGATGCCCTATAAAGTAGTTATTTGCATGCTTTTTTTATTTGCTCTCTTGCAGATAGCAAGCCCCTTGGGAAAAAAGGGTCTTGTCTTACGAATCTTGGCCCACACATACTACCACATATGATGAAGCTTTTAATAGAAAGGAAGAATTTAGAGAGCAGGCTATCTCAGAATAAGCATTCAGTAAGTGTTTGCTTAAGCATTGTGTGATAACCTGGTTACTCTTGATTAGGAAAAAATCACTATGGGCCATGCTTCTTCCCTTGTTTCATGTTTTTATTCTTTTTAATTCTAATTTTTAAAAGATTCAAGAGCCTTTAGACATAGAAACTGATGTGTTCCATAAGGTATTAATTCTCTAGATACCTATTCTTTCCCATTCTAGATAAATCTTGTCAAGATGAAAGTTAAGGACCACCCCTGCCAGTAAGACAATTTAACAAAGGCATTGGAAAGGGAAGATGGGCAATATCTCCTTTGCCTTGGTGTTGGTGTGTAATTTAAATTCATTTATTCTTGTTCCTCCTGTGGAGCCTTTCTTTATTTCCCATCAACCACTGCCCAGCAGCCTGAATACAGTCAGATTACCTCCCCAGAATATGAGGCTTGAGGCAGTTCCTGAGATAGTTTATCCTCAAGAATCAGGAAACAGTCTTTGCCTGAGAATTCTTTATGTTCTTAACGTCACTGACTTAATCATAAGGCTCCTTTTTTTCTATATCTTCTGTCAGCTTCTCAGGCAGGCTTGTCAAGAATTAGTACGCATCAGGCAGCTGATGTGCTGACAGCAGACCCACCCAGGTGTTAGAGTCCTGTGCTTGTAATTCCATGCATTTGTTATCTGTTTTGTCCCTGGACCTTCTGACCATCTTCCTTGTGCTGTTCCTTCAGCCTACAGATTTGATACCCGGATTTTTGTCCATGGTGATTTCTATCACCTTACTACTGAAGAAGATACCATTCCAGTGGACAACTGTGACCCAGGAGACATTCAGCCATCATGACGTGGCCTTCACCTCCACTCCTGTCCTGTTCTAACCAGATTGGGTATCACCCTTTATGTGAAGTCAAACTCCTCAAGCCAAATAGCTGAAACTGTTTAATCACAACAAAGGCCCAGTTTGTTCCATGAGTGTGTATTTTGTTTCTTCAGTTAAAGCCTTCAGAGACATGTAATAAATTTGGACCAGGGGATTCTTATTTATCAACACTGTCTGAAGACTGGTAACATCTTCTTGAGAGCGACATTGAACCACATTCCACAATCTCAAATGTTTGAAGTATATGAAGTGTTGAGGATCCCATACAGGTCACTGGACACTTTCTTTTTCCACTACAAAGCTGTAGTATCCTACTGAATGAGAAAGCAGATATTCTGACCCATTGGGATTAAAACAAAGGCACAGTGAAGTCCTCATAGCATCTTTGGGATTACTCAGGAACCAGAACTTTTCACAAAAATGTAAGAAATTTACAAAGGAATCTTTACCCAGCATCTCACAAAGCTTCAATCAGATTCCAGAAAAGGCCTTGAGACATCCAGGTAGAACCTATATGATAATCCCTTATGTTTATATCGCACTTTACAGTTTCAAAGCACTTTTACATGCATTAATATCAATGATCAAAATCACACAATAGACTATAATCCCTTATTTGCAAAAGAGGAAATGGGATTTGAAAGGTTATCCAAGGTAACAACAGCTACCAACTGGTGGAGGCCAGGCCTTCTGACTCCCAGTCCAGTTCTTTTCTTGGAATTAATTTGGCCTCTACCTTACCCACAGTGTTAAAATGACTACGGTTTGGGAACCCTAGAAGTTTTCCAGCTTCCTGATCTGGTGCCCTTAACCAGGATGTCATAAATGTAATATTGTGATAACTGTACCTAGACTAGAATTCCATGGAAACCACCCCTAAGGTTTAGGAGCAGACTGTCTTTATGATGGTAGACTGTCCAGTCTGCAAAACACATGTTCATCTAACAACACTACCCAACATGAAACACAAAGCTACTTTTAGATCTTTTGTCCATCTTCGTGGTCTTTCCAAAGATGGTGTAATTGGGGAATCCCTGTTCCTATCATGCCCTTGTTTTTTTGTTGTTTTTAAGTCTTATACTGTAGGACACACAAGATCTTATCTATGGTTTTTTTTGTCCCCAAACTAATATTTATACAAAATGAGCCATCCATTTAGAACAGTACTGTTCATGTATGTGTATTTGTAAACATAATATATATGTCATACACATAGAGCTTCTGTAGTCCAGTAAGGAGGTAAAAATACTGTAAAATGTGTCCCTCCCTGATAATGCAGTGTAGTGTATTAAAGGATATTAGAATGCCTGCAGCGAAAAAATAATAACTCATTTAGCTGTTTAGCCTGGTATGTTCTAAGTTGAATCAAGCACAGAATGTTACTTTTGCAACATTCCTTTCAGTGGAATGAGGCAGCTGCTTAAGAGTGGCATAGCCAGTGCATCCTGAATGCCAACAGATTGCCCTGGAGACCCAGGATTATAAACTACATCTTTGTCCCCCTCCTTTTTTTCTTACCAATAACAGCTTTGAATTAGTATGTTTCCATCATCTGAGAGTCCTTTAACTTGACCATTACCTTGATTTTCTGTCAAAGGAATCTCTAGAAGATTCGTGGGAATACAGGGGAAGGGATTAGGGGAAAATTAGTTCATCCAAATTTGAATGGATTTGATGACATTTAGTGATACACTCCTTTGTCCCTAGAATTGTGCTATAAGTCTAGTTCAAGGGTATTGCATCTCAGGTGGGTGAGAAGATTGTGAAAGGAAAAGAGGAAGAAGATGAAGAAAACGGGAGGAGGGGTGAGAAGGAGATATTTTCTTAGAATTTCTGAGTTGTGGCCCACTGAGATCTTAGTGATTGAGGAGAAGTCACCCAGCGTGGACTTCTTGGAATAATATTTACGAAGAAGTGAACCCATTTTGCAGCTGTATCCTGACTACAAAAACCCCAGTGCTATTGTCACTTAAAACCAATAGCCTTGTTCTCTGGTCATCACAAGCCCAATGAGAATTTATAGCAGACTTGAACATTAAATTTTCTAATTCTATAATGTGGCCCACTTTAGGGGAAGAATGAATAGGAAAACACCTTGGCTTACCAAAGGCTTTGCTCACAGTTTCTGGTTTCTGTGACCTATTTTTTGTATTTCAGCATTTTGTGAACAACTTATTCTTAGATTGGTTTTCCAAAGGCTTTGTGGCCATGAAGCCCTTTGAATGAAAACTATGTGGAAGCCCAAAGTAAAAGTGAAGCTGCTCTGGATGAAGCAGGAGTAGGGGGTCCTGAAACCTGCCACAAGCATCTTCCTTTACTACCATGGTGACACCTAAGGAGACTTCTTTACAACACCTAGAATTCTTCAGAACACATTTTGAAAAACACTGCCCTAGACCACAACATGTTCGACCTGAATGGTATTCTGATCTGTACCTCTACTCAACACAGTTCAGTTGGTGCTGAACATTCTTAGAAATACTTACTGTGAGCAAACTCAGAAAGTTGCAAGAACTTTCTTTGTCCCCCAAGTAGTTATATGAGCCAAAAGTGATATCAAATGGACCTAAATTAACAGCCCTCTGCCCCCCAGATGGACTTCCAATAATTCCTGGGTTTGGATATAGACAGTAATTCATACGTACTCTGCAGTGACAAAAAAAACCCTTACCCAACTTGCACAAACACCAGATGCTCTAGTGGTACTTGAAATATGTGAATTTGAAGTTTTGATCCTCTTTGGATACCTGAAGTAACAGGTATAGAAGCTGATGCTTCATTGAGGCTATAGTAGACCAACTTGTACATTGGACCTCCCATCATCAGCCATGGTACTCTACTTCATGTACCAATGAATAACCATTAACTATGGAAGCAGACTTCAGATACTGGCAACATTAACCGAAAGGGTACCTGGTTTTATCATTCATCTTATTCTCAAACTACAAGTCACTATGACTCAACCAGTGGCAGTAATACCACTGCTTGGTTTCTATTTAACTGCTGTTTCCAGGATAAATGAGCTAATTTTTTAAAAGCTAAAACAGTTCCTCTGTTATTGGCATATCTGCCTGGCATAATCTTCTCTACGATTATAAATACCCAGCTCTAACTACATGTCAGACCTGATCCACAAGAGACCATCTTTGAACATCTTTTCTCATGTATGTGATTTAAAATGTGGCCATTTGGAAAGTTTTCTTCTAACCAGTGAGTGATTTTTTGTTTTTGTTTTTTTAAATATGTTTTTATTGATTTTTTTTTGTGGTACGTGCCCCTAACGGGAACCGAACCCAGGACTCTGGTCCGCAGGCCAACGCTCAACCTTGTTTTTGTTTTTTTAAGATGAGTCTTTTGATGTCTGGTACTATCAACTGTAGGTATTAGGGATTTGAGGTAGGCCTTTTGACTAGGCCATCATAGCTTACTTACTGGGAATCTCAAATTGTGTATCGTCTACTTTTTTGCTGGAAATGTAGACTGACTTGAAAAACAAATCTACAAAGCCTGCAGCTAAGGATTTTGTCAGTAGATTCAAGTTTGCTGCTGCTGCTTCCTGATGTCACAAGACCACAGTCCCATTGTCCTTGTGGATATGTTCATGGATTTTTACCTGTCTCAATACTGTTTTACACTGATTCAGAGTGGCCAACTTCATTTCTTGCCATGAGATACTTTCAGTCATTGAGACAACTTACCTGTTTCTGCAGGAAGGATTCGGTTTATGAACTTCCAGACCAAATCATGTTGAACAAGTAGACATTGATTTATGTCATGAGAAAAATCTCATTGACTTCACAGTTGACTTAAGGGTCAACTCTCCTCAACTACTTTAACAAATGCACTGGTTAAATGTTGGGAATGGTTTCTTTATATCTCTTATCCAATAAACTAATTATGATTACATGATATAGTCTACAAATTGTCAAACAAGGCCTAAGTCTTGTTATTTTAGACCATTCACCATCAACAAATAAAAATAAAATGATGACTATCCTGCTTGTATATACAACTATTATTTGTAAAGGAGAAACCTGCAAAGTCAGTTTTTTTATTACCTTTCAAATGTCAGCTAGATTTTTTTTTCTCTTGTACAAAAAAAGACACTGATCTACACTGCCAGTCCTTCCCTTTAATCCTGTCAGACTCAGTCAAAATGAGGGGCTTAACATGAGGATGATCATCTTTCAAGAGTTTAATGAACACTGTATAAGAATTGATGGTTAAAAAGCAAAAAGCCTAAGATTCAAATCTAGGATCTTACCTACTATCTCCCTGCCTCAGATCTCATCTAAGTCCAGCAGCACCATTCAGTCAGTTTGAGGCCTTGACTTGTTTTTGATTCCTAGAGAGGTGCTGAATTGCAGAAGATGGAGACTTGATTACCAAAGAAAGTAGTGCCAATCTTCATGAACTCTATACTCCCAGGTATAGCGTAGACACCTAAACAGAACCTCAAGTCTGGACTGAGAATATAGCCTCCTGAGCTGAAAATTCTTGGGCAAATGAGCAGGAAAATTAAAGCTGCTATACCTGACTGGCCATTTAAGATCTGAAAATTGTATCCAGAATAAACACTATGGATTAACCCTGGAGTAAATACTCAGGGTAAAAACTAATTTACAGAGCTTCAATATTAAACTACATGTTCTTCCATATCATACCCTGGTTATTGGTATTGCTGGCCCTGCTGAAGGTACCCTACTTACCTATTTACCTAACTCAGCCCTTGCCTGCCTTGTTTTGACATGTTGCTGCAATCAGACTTGCTGTCCTTGAGAAGACTGCAACTGAACTCAGCCTCTCATATACCCAATTTCACCAAGGAGTTTTGAACAGAAGCAACTGCACCTCACCCCACCAGGACTTGATGTTCTCAACAGGAAGGACCATGCTGTGTACTCTTTGACCAACAGCAGCCTTTTTTGTTTTTTAAGTACAGAGTAAGCCTCTAGGCCTATATGTATTTGATCATTTTCAGCACCTGGGACCCTTTCTAACAGATCTGAAGGAGTACAGCAGATCAAAAGCACTGTTAGTTTCTCTCTTATGCAGTAATACAGAGGTGAGTTGGATTCACCTGTACAGAAGTAAGAATGTTCAACTTGGCAAAAGACTTGAACACAAGAAAAGTTTTCCAGGAACTTAAAATTTACCACTGACTTGAATAGCCTCACAGAACTACTTGTCATTGGGAGACTAGTTGTCTTGCATTATGTCAACTAGATAGTTGGGCTTTCAGACTCATTGCTTATATTGAGACTCTATTGTATTATCCAGAGTGTGTTACTGGACATGATTATCCCATTCAAATGGATTATAAGCTTCCTGACTACAGGACATAGTCCTCATGATGTTTTTTCGAAATACTTTTATTATGAAGAAAGTAAAATTGCCAGCTGTTACCATTCAACTTTATGAGCAGAGATTAAACTTTTTCAATATCTGGTCTTATCATTTATTTTTAATTGACCAGCTTTCATTTCATCTCTTCGTAACAACTCCATGATGTTTCTTGGAACCACATCTTCCAATTTTTAGTCCACCTAGTTCAGACAGTCTGATCTAACCTTAGGTTTCATGTGTGGACATGTAGTTCAGACCTGATCAATCAGTATAGTTCATCTCCTTGATCATAGTGATTGATTTGATTCGGGAATGGTCATGTGATTCAAGTTGGTCCAGTAATACTCAGCCCTAGCAGTTTGACTGATCTGTGGAAGAGGAAAAGCTCAGAAACGACTGAGGTTGCTTACCTTTGTGGGATGAAAAATCTCAAACCAGCAGGGTCTACCATATAAAATGTGCCAGTCAGAGAATGAAGCCAGTGCAAAGGAAAGCGGAGCCAAATGATGGAGAGACTTGAGTCCTGATGACAATGTTTGTGCTCCTAGATCCACCCGTGCCTGAAGCTAGTATATCCTCTGGATTTTTTTCAGTTTTGTGAACCAATAAATATCCTTTTGTTTAAGTTACTTTGAGTTCAGTTTCTGTTGCTTGAAATTGAGTCCTAATGTACTACCAATATTGAAAATTGGCAGATCCAAGTGTTAAAGTATAGGCCATGGCCACTCTGAAGTTCTTTTCTAAACTGGAAGGCAGTGAAAAAGGAACTGACAGCGTTTAAGAAAGAATAAAAATTAATTACATGATAGAAAAATATGCAAGAAAACCTAAATGTTATCAGTAAGGAATTGGTTAAATAACATGGTTTAACCATATTAAGAAAATTTACGTGTGTGTTAAAATGAGTAAGATACACTTAAACTGTGTATGGACTTGGAAAAAAATGCCATGTCATAGTAAGTGAAACACAGAAAAATGTATAGTGTGAACTCACTTTAAAATTTGTGCATAATTGTTTATAATGCATAGAAAAGTCTTAATGGCTTTCTTTGAACGGTGTAGATTAGATTACATGAGACTTTGAACTTGATACATTTCTGTATTTGAGTATTTTTCACTATTCACATTACTTACAAACTTTATTTACAAGTAAAGAATTTTAGAACTAAGTTTAGTGCTTGCTGTTTGAGCTTGGTGAGTTACTTAACCCTGAACCTGTTTCATCAATTTACCTGAGGACATTTTTTTCCATTTTTTGTTCAGATAGAGTGGGAGGGAGAGAGAAGAAGAGAGAAGGAGAGAAACATCAACGTGAAAGGGACACATCCAGTGGCTGCCACCCACACGACCCAACCAGGGATGGGGACAAACTGCAACCGAGGTACATGTCCTAGCGGGAATCGAACCCGGGTCTCTCAGGACCGTAGGCTGACGCTCTAACCGCTGAGCCAAACTGGCCAGGGTTGTTTCATCAAATATTTTTAAATACCCACCTTTATCTTAGTGAATATTTCAATAAACATATTTATCATCCATTACTCAAACTGACAGATTCATGCACCTTTACTTGTTTGAGAAACTCTGAGCTCAGTAATTGTTCCTTAATTTTTCAGGCACATCTCTTTAAATGTCCAAGTGTATCAGAACTTCATAGTTTCAGTCATCAAAAGATTATTTTAGTTCTGAATGGATGTTAATCTAAAGACTTATATAGCAGTTTTCACACTAAGCAGAGAGGAGAGAAAAGTCCCATTTTCTTTGAAATCTGAATATTCTGATCTCATTGCAAGGTTAATAATAACCTTTTTATTGCTAAGTCCATTACATATACATTGGATCTGAACTTTCAGTGGCACAGACAATTTCCACCAGCATCTTAACATACTTCCTTTAGTTGTGAAGACTTCTCATTTTCTTCCTGCCTTCCTGGAAGGTTCTCCCCATCACTTAAATATTGATATAGTAAACATCCCTTGATATATATATATTTTTTTGTCTCCCCCAAATCATTTTTCCTTTCCTTTAGTCATAGATCCCCACTCTTTCTTTGGAGCGCTACTCCTTCCCAGTGGTGTTAGTGGAACTGTAAATTGTGGTATTCTGGCCTTGTAATTCTGGCTGAGGTTTGATAGTGTGCTCCCTGCTTGTCCAGTCAAAATTCTCTCCCACCAGGACTTTGAGTCTTAAGAGAGGTGACAAACAAAACAGTAGGACCTAGATCATTCTGATAGTAGTGTCCCAAGGAAAGCATATTAGAGTTTGTGTAAGGACATCCCCACAGTGGCCTGGTTCCTCTTGTCAAGGCCTGGTCATGCAGATTTTCTTTGGTTTGTGTAGACTACCATCGGTCTTCCTTACAGTATGTTTCCCCTGTATTTGTAAGCTAAGCAGGGTTTCTGTTGCTTGCAACCCAATGACTGAATGATTATGGAAATTGATAACCGTTCAGTAGTAGACTTAAGACCCTCCAGAACATGGAGGATCTGGAATTGATTATTGCCCTGAGACTGAATTAAAGGCAGTAACTCTTGTTCTGTCTCCTTGGGTGGAGCAGGCAGTGATGAGCAATTTGTAATGGCAAAACAGCAAGTAAAGATACTTCCCCTTGTCATTTGGAATTGTGCCTGTTGCATGCAAAATTTGGACAACTAGGTAGCTGTTGACAGGACAATAAAGTAGATAAGGAAGGCTAAGATAATTGAGTTAGGATGGTTAACTACTTGGATTCCATTGGATAATTTAAAGTAAGACACCAAGCTTCTGGAACTTGGTGTAAGCATAAAATAAAAGCTAGGGTCTTTCTGTGTCCAGGATGAATGAATCTCTGTGTTTAATTCCAAAACTACAACTTGGAGATTGATTCCATAAATGGCAAAATGCTGATTGAATTTGCAGTTTTACTAAGATCTCTTTTATGAGAGTTTAGGCATTAATTGGAAAAGATACTTGCAGAGTTTTGATATCTGGGAGAATTCAAAAGACTTGGAAAATCCCACCCCTTGCATATCTCAGGAATGCAAGTTTGGTCTTCCTATTAGTTTAAAAAACAAAACAAAAAACAAAAACCTTAGCTAAAGAAAAAATATAGAGCATATAGTGAGGGAGACAGAAAAACGTTGACGTGAGAGGGACACATCAACTGGTTGCCTCCCACTCAACCCAGACCAGGGCTGGGGATGAACCGCAACCGAGGTACCTGCCCTTGGTCAGAATCAATCCCATGACTCATTGGTTCGTGGGCCAGTGCTCTCTACTGCTGAGCCAAATTGGCCAGGACACTTGCCTTGCCTTTTTATCCCCCTCTCCTCTTTCTCCATTTCAGTATTTTGCCCCTCACAGCTAGCTGAAGTGTGAGCAGTGATCCAAGTTAGTCCAATCAGATTTCCCCTTCATTTAAACTAAGTCATTCTGCTGGCACTGTTCCTCTCACTAATGTGTATGGGTGTGTTGGTGATGGTTAAATATGTCAGTAAATCCATAAATTGTAGATTATCAACTTGACATTAAGAACTGGTGTGGGTCTTGGCCGGTTGCTAAGTGGTTAGAGCATCGGCTTGCAGACCAGAGAGTCCTGGGTTCCATACCTCAGTTGCAGTTTGTCCCCTGCCCCGATTGGGGTTGTGTGGGTGGCAACCACGTGATGTGTCTCTCTCACATTGATGTTTCTCTCTCTTCCTCCCTCCCTCTCTATCTGAAGATAAATGCAAAAATGTCCTTGGGTGAGGATTAAAAAAAAAAAAACGTGTGGGAGGCAACCAATCTCTCTCACATCAGTGTTTCTCTCCCTCCTGTCCACTCTAAAAATCAATGGAAAAAATACCCTTGAGTGAGGATTAGCAAACAAATAAAAAAGAACTAGAGTAGAATGAATATCACCCAGAAGTCTTAAACTTGACACTGGGTGTGATAACTGGAAAATAGGTTACCTCCTTTGGGGAGAAGATGAGTCCATTTTCTACATTATATTGAATGGAAGCATTTATAAAATTGTTCATGAAGAATGCATGGCCCTGACCAGTTTTGTTCAGCAGCTAGAGCTTTGGCCCGCAGACCAGAGAGTCCTGGGTTTGGTTCCCGCTAAGGGCATGTACCTCGGTTGCAGTTTGTCCCTGGCCCCAGTTGGGGTCGTGTGGGTGGCAGCCACTCAATGTGTCTCTCTCACATTGATGTTTCTCTCTCCCTCCCGCTCTGTCTGAAGATGAATGCAAAAATGTCCTCTCGTGAAGATTAAAAAAAAATGCATGTATTGGGCATCCAAGGGATAGAACCTCGTGGTCAGCTACATTTGCCTACCCAGTGTCTTTCCCCCCATCCTTAGAGAATAGCTCCTCACCTTTCCTTTGAGAAGCTATCCCTCTCCTGTGCTACCAGAAGAAAATAGTAGGAGGCATACAAGTTCCTGTAACTGAGATTTCCTTAGTTGCCCGAGTTTATTCCTGGTTAAGCTTCTCTAATTTATGTGAAGTGCTTCATGTTCTTTCAATAAATGACATTGGCTGGGCAGGCTTCTACATATGGCAGCACAAGTTTTCCCCACACAACCAAATGCAGAGATCCTGTAGCCAGGGTTGATTTTTGCTACTTACAGTCAGAGAACCCCAACTGAATCAGTGTCCCTCCTATGTCTTCGGCCTTCTTGTCCCGTAGACTAAAAATTCATTCTTATGGTTTGGTTTCTAACTGTATGTTGATAACTTCCAGATTCCTTTTTTCAGCCCAGATATATTTCCTGAATTTCATGTCTGAATGTCCACCTGTCATCTGGATATCCCCCTGCTTGATAAACCCACAGATACCTCACCCCGACCCCATCATTTCCCCTCAAAATTTGCTCTTCTTTTAGTGTTCCCTTTTCTTGATAAATGGTACCATGCTTTATCCTGTTTCTCAAACCAGAACATGGCCATTATTCTTGACACTTCCCTATCTTATCTCTCACCCCAGACATTCCTATTAATCACTAAATTTTCTGGGTGTATCATGTAAATATACCTCAAAATCATCTTCACTTTTATCACCCTTGTTCAAGAGAACAGTATCTCACTAGGACTATCATGATGCACTTCTAGTGGTTTCATTGCCTCTACTGTTGTCTTACTGTTCTTTGCAGAGCAGCTTAGAGTAGTCTTTGGTACACAGATCTAATTGTGTCACTCACCTGCCAAAAACCTTTTAGTAGTTCCCCCATCATTTCAGAATATAATCTAAACTTTCTTTCTGAAACTTTGTTACAAGGCTCTTTGTTATCTTACATCTCAAGCCCCATCTTTCACCACTTCAAATATTACAACTCAGTTTTGTATATTGGAGTTTTCTGTAATATTTCATTGAAACCCAGCCCTGACCTCTGTGACTCAGTGGATAGAGTGTCCACCTGCACACCAAATTGTTGCAGGTTCAATTCCCAGTCAAGGGCACGTATCTGAGTTGCAGGTTTGATCCCCAGCCCTTGTTGGAGTGTGTGAGGCAACCAATTGATGTGTCTCTCTCATCTCTCTCTCTCTCTCTCTCTCTCTCTCTCTCTCTCTCTCTCTTTCTCTCCTCCTTCTCACTCTCTCAAAATCAATGGAAAAAATCCTCAAATGAGGATTAACAAAAAAATAATAATAAACCGAAACCCATTGATGTT